TACTGAAGAGAGAGTTTTGTTGTTTTGGTTTGTTATGGGTTTTTTAAAGTCCCTATGCTCTCATCCACCCCTTTTGAAAGCTCCCTGGTTCTGCTTTGCAGTACGCTACATTTAAAGGAACTCCTGTTCTTCAGCAACAAGAACATCAAAGCTGAAGTGAGAGCCTCATGTTTTCCTGAACCATACGCATGCTATGCTTGCTTTCCATGCTCCCCTCCTCTACCTTCCTCACTGCACTAGAGGTTTTTTTTTAATGACTGTTATTGGCTCAAGGCTTTAATCCAGCATAATATTTAGAACAGTTTAGGGTACTGGCAGGTTTTAGGAAGAAAACTGGTCACAAAAACAAAAGTTTTCTGGAGTCACTCAGTGTGGGGAAAGAGCTAGTGCAGGAAGCTGTGCTGGGCTGCAGCAATCATAGCATTGAATGGACTGGTAATCGTTTTTATTTCTGTTTAAAGGCAAAAAGTTGTTGAACACCACAAAGACGGCAAGAGCTCACGTCATCTATCCTCCAGCTGACTGTGCAGTGGGAAGCACAGCCATCAGAAGGTACTGTTCACAGTATATATGTGAGATCTTCTGCCAAAGCAAGTGATAACAGGCCAGTCCTTCTGGTAGACTGCAATAAACTTAGCACCTGAAACATGTGTTTCCGAAGTATTTTTTACACAGCAGCCAAAGAAATGTATGAGATGTTGCTCCTTTTATTTCCAGTTGCAGGCCAAAACCTGCGTGGATTGAAAAAAATATTTTAGGAGTCTTAATTTAAGCTCGGCCCTAGGAAGACAGTCTGAAATTATCTGGTTTATTATAAGCCAATGGGTGTCTGTCTTTGTACTAAAAGAGACAGAACTAGTGAGAAAAGTTAGAAAAAAAATCTGCCAAGACACTCCTCTGTGCAACGTAGACTCTGTATGTTACCCCCAGGACTGGCTATAGTTATGACTTCGAGTCCGCTCTACCTCATATTACAAGAAGTGCGAATATGAGCAGTAGTCAGAGGGAAAAGCAAATTTCACTTACAGCTTCAGCTCTTGCAATTTTGCAAAAGATGCTCAAAGAGGTCACCCTGTGTGTTAAGAACATACCCTCTCTTTACATGACAAGGGAGGTGCTCTTGGCTTTCTGCATGGTTAGCAGACATGTACAAAAGAGCAGATGAGAAAGCGGTGATAAAGAAATAATGATTTTTTTTTTTTCTTTAAAGCTTTATCAGAACTGGAATACTGAATGCCTTGCAAAATATCTGCAAAATAATACTAGGGTACTACTACCAAGGCAAGGTAGTCAGAGGGTTTTATCTGACAGCAGGCACACATTAAATCAAACCTTAACAAACGTATTCATTGTTTTGAGAAGGCAGGAAATAATTAGGGGAGACGTACCTGTTCTTGTTCAGAATGTCTGGTACTTTTCAGATAATTGGTACTGAACAATAGATGCTGCCAGTTAAAATATAAACTAGTTTCTGTATTGTTTTAATGGTCCCTGTCTCCCTACTAGTTTGATGACATAGGAGCTTAGATGTAAGAGCCTGAAAACACATACAGTTTTCTCTGTGCAGGTTCAGGAAGTTCTTATCACCCACTGTACAGACACAATCTCTCAAAGAGTTGTCAAGATTTAGTTTTATTTGGGGTTAGAAATATTGAACCACAGAAACCTGTTAAAAGTAACAGAGGTTGACTCAGCCCTGTAACAGGAGGGCATACAGGATGGTGATCAGCTATGAAACTATCAGACATCAGGAGGTATTGCAGCACCCATGGAAAAAAGGGCACACGTTGTTCAGAATTGCATGCAGTGCTTTTTCAACAAAGCAGTTTAAGGAGGCAGTAAAATAGTTACTATGTATCAAACACTTCATAATGAAAACAAACTCTCTTTTACCATCCCTGATATTAGTCCCAAGAGAAAGATTTTTGTTTTACAACCAGTCTCATTTTACAGGTTCTTGCTGGACTAGCAGTTCCCCAGAATAAACATTTTAAACTTTATTAAACTTTCCTGTAAGTTTTTCTCATTATTTCACATTCTCCTGTACAATAAAATATACTTTTTTTTAAAAATCACTGTGCATCAATAAACATCTGTAGACAAATTACATTAATAAACTTTATATTTTACTCTCTATATACATGTTGGCAATGACAGAGCTTCAAGATTCACATGGAGGCCTGTAAAACCGAGGGTATGTACATCAATAACTTACATTTAGGAAAAATCAAAAGCTGAAGAGTATTTTTCCACATAATTGTGGGTCACAGTATTTAAAATAGTTTGTCTAGTTATTCTTTACAACCACATTGTCTCAGCAGAGAATGATTAATCAAACTGAAGCATAAGGAAAAATCAAGTTCCAATTACTGATTCAGTGCAGAACTAAGTGAAGTGAAGAACTACACTTGATTTTTAAAGAATGTACAATATATTGGAGACTCCTCCAGTGCTAAGGCTTCTTCAGCTTTTAATCTTTAAAGTTATCGTCCTGAGACGGGAAGATTCCAGTGGATATCACTTTTCAGATTTCAAATGGAATGATTCTAGCATTAAACTAAACCATTCCTCAGTCTATATATTAGACTAAGTGGTAAAACATACATACATTTTGATGCCACGTTCCTACTTAATACTTTTTATGGCCCTGAAAATGGAAACATTGGCATCCCAAACCAACATATTTCAATATAATAAAAAGGCACTGAGCTATACTACTGTACACATGTATGTATATAGTGTACATGTATGTATGCTGTATACAGTAACATTTGTGTTTGCATAGATCAACAGTAACTTTGAACGCAGCAAAGAAT